TGATATATAATCATTTTAAGAAAAATAAAAATACTGAATAACATAAAAAGTAATAATTATAATGTATAAATAGTCAAATATATAAATTAAATGTAACCAATAAAATAGCAAAATATGGAAGCTAGATATTACCTGAGCTTGCTTGATTCACGTTCTACCTATCTCTTCCCCTTCCTCTCTCTCTCTTTCTTTCTCACGAAGTAGACTTCTATTCGAAATAATCTAAGATTAGATCTAACGAAATCTAAAATAAAATATTTATATTTACAGTAAAACTTCTGGCACTTTACAAGAAATATATAGATATATATCATAAACTCCTGCCGAAGTATTCACACATTCATACAATCTATTCTATATTCATATCATCTGAATCTCTATTTAAAGCGCTTTTATATTTCTCCAGCCTGATAGTTGCCATATTCTGCATAATATGCAAAGTCGCTCCGAAAGTGTCTCGAAAAAGATCAAAAGCGAGAAATACACAAAGAAATTTTCGCAGGCAAGCGGCAAATGCCGACGCGCATTCACTCAAGCAATTAATAAAATGTAAAAGAAAGAAAAGAAAAGCAAAGCTAAGGAAACAAAAAAAAAAATGAAAAAAAAAAAAAATGATGGAAAATGAAAAGAAAAATCAAATAAAGAAGCAAACTAAACGACAAACGTTGAGGCCGTTTTGCGGCTGTGGCTTGGGATCTGTTATGGTAACTGGAACTGTAAGAGAGGGACTGAAATAGCAAGTAGCGAAGGAGTGAGAGAGAGATGGGTAGATAGGGAGAGGGAGATGCAGAAGGAGGCCAAACTGGCGCCCACACTTCCTTTCATATGCGAAATGAAAAATTTTACGCCAACTTGACAGTGGAAGTGGCAGCAAAGTTGCAAATGTGCCTTGTTGTTGTCGCACTCGTTATTGTTGTTGTTGCTGTTGCTGTTGCTGTTGTTGTCGGCGGCATAGTCCCAAATAAAAGGCATAAAATTTGCCAGCCGCCACTTGAACACAGAGAGTCGCATAGTTTTTATGGCCATGGGTCGGCCTTTTAATGCGCTCCATGTTCGCAGTAGTTGCAATTGCAATGGAACGGCAGCTGGTCGCAGCGCTTAGCCTGAAGAGAGAGTGGAAGAGCGAGAGACGGAGAGTGGAAGAGACTGACAGAGGGGCAGCTGTTGGAGAGCAACTGGGGAACCGCTATTGGATTGTGTTGGTTATCTGACTGTGGGCACTACTGGCACTGGCACCGTTTTCTTCGGTAGCCAGCAGTCAAATGCAAATTTTTTATGTGACGAAAGCAAAAAACAGATGCGTGAAAAGCGACGTCGCTTTTCGTCGATGTGACGCGAACGAACCAACAACTACTCTGGCGAGGGAGTGGCGGCTGGCTGGCCGGAGAGGTGTGTGCAGCAGGCGGGCAGACATTGGGTCAGACGAACGTGCAGATCACAGAGGTCGTTGCGCGTAGCACTGGTAGCCATATGAATGGCAAAGTGAACTGAGTGAGCTGACAGTTCCATTGAGTTCGGTGTGATGATGTGTGACGGATCGGCAAGGGGGACGAGCTGCATCTGCGTTAAGATATGTGAAATGCGTTAAAGTCGGAGATGAGTTATGGATCACTTAAAGCAATTTAATTATAGTCACATATTAGTTTTATCGCTGCAAGATCTGAGATCGCTTTGGCTGCAAGATGCACATAAATTAGAGAGATGAACAAACTCATAAAAAAAAAGGAGTAAATCAAGATGCATTTTATTTAATTTATGCAGAACGCAGTTCACATATGAAGGATGTAAATGTGTTCTTATATATAAATATTGTTTTCTGAATTTTATTTATATTTTTGTAATCCAATGACTAGCATATTTTCTTTTACTATTCCCGCTAGGCTGACTGATAGTTCAAAAAAGCTTATTAAGCAAATTAAATATTTGCAAATATGCAATATGCACATTTTTTAAAGAAGTCTTCAAAACATATATATAAAAAACAAAGAAATAAACTAATTTATGATGATTAATAAATAATATTAAAATAAAAAATTAAAATGTTTAAAAAATTACATCAAAATAAACTGAAACAATTACATAAAAAATAAATTAACAATGTTTTAATAGTAATAAAAATATATTCTGTGCATAACTTAATTTACAAATTACGAATACATTAAAAGATGTATATATTTTTAAAGCATTCTAATGAGTAACATAACGTCGTATACAAGAACAATGACAGCTCCCCCTAGGCCGACCATTATTTTAATATAAACTGCAATAGTTCAGTAAGTTATGCAACAAATGCTACCCGAATACTTTACAATATTCAGCATGGCAGTTTGGTTAGTATAACAACAGTAGCAGAGCTGCCGCATAACCCACAGCCCAGAGCAGCAGAACTGCAGCCTAACCACTGCACCACTGCACCACCTCACCAGCAACTGTGTCTAGATCCAGCAGCCTCTGCGCTGATAACGCGCACCATTAACACCCGCAAACAATAACCAAGTCGAAAATTAATTGAAGCCCGAGCCGCAGACGGTTCCTGGCAGGCGTTGGACCGCAAGTTACCCAGTCTCCCAGTCTTCCTAGTTCCCCCCTCCGGCTCCGCCAATTCAGCCAGCTGCTCCACCTCGAATACTCTCCCCTCGCTTGCAATGCCAGACAGACATTGCAGACGCCCTGGCATGTCATTCATTTAGTTTTCTATGCCTGGTCTACAGTCCGTCGTGCCCCTCTGCTCCCAACCACCCAACCACCCAATCGGCATTCAGCTTGCCTGCCTGACTGCCTGACTGGCTGACTGGCTGGGGTGGTGTTCGTTGAAGTACCGTTGCCTGCGGCCTGGCCATATTATTTTCGCACTCACCAAACGGCCGGCCGACTGCCGCCAACTGAGTCACTAAAAAGCGGCATTTTATTTGCACTCCAAGACGCGAAACTGTGCGCCAAAAATTATTACGCGCCCAACAGCCAGCAGCAGCAGCAGGAGCAGCAGCAGCAGGAGCGGCGGCCCCACGATGCAATCCAAATTGCTGTTGCTATTGCTATTGCTGTTGTTGTTGTTGTTGCTTTCTTTTTGCTGCTGTTGTGAGTGTAGCCTGGCATTTAATTGCCACATGCAACACATGTTGACGACGCCAACGCGAAAAAAAAAAGAAAAATATATAAAAGGACAGCCTGGAAAATTAATAGAAAAATATTTTTTAACCATTTTTAATTTGGGCTTTGTGGGCGGCAGCAACAAACGACAAACAACAAAAGCTTTGGCAATTTCCATCGCTTTTTTTTCGCTCTCTCTCGCTCTCTCTATCTCTCTTTCACCCATTGCAATTTTCTCTGGGTATACAATTTCATCGTAATTGTGGTTAATGTTATGGATATTTTATGTGGGAATTCAAGCGAGACTAAGTAGTCGGCGTCGTAGTCGTCGACGTCGTTGTAGGAGGAGCAAGCAACTGCTAAACGAGTGTAAACTAATGTGTATATATTTTGGCAAAGATTGTAATGTTGATATTTGTAACAAATAGCTCTAGCGCTATTAAATTTTGGCTCAAGCGAGACATGCTAGCTAATTAAAACTCAGCTAAGAATAATGTATAACTATTGAATTGAGTATAATTTTAATAATAAAAGAGAAAACCTCCAGATATGTATATAATATGACGGTATGTATTTTCATTTATTTATTTATTTATTTATTTATGCAGTTCACTCTAAATTCATTCTGCATAAACACCAAATATATCTAGAGGCTAATAGGGATCCCTGTCCCTTAGTCAATTTCAATTCATACTATTTAT